GAAGCGGCCACTATGGAAATTGAATTCAGGCAGCAAGATTTGCGAAGTAAGTACTCAATATTTGAATTTTTCGATTGAATATGATGCATATCCGAAGGAATAATATCATTTATAATTTCAATTTTAACATTGTAGGTGCACTTCAAATGTGAAGATTTCATAGTGGAACATACCATCAAATTGAAAGAAAATGCGGAGCCTTCATTCCATCATCAGAAGGATTATGGAAGACATTCCTTATCGAATTCAGGACAATTTTTACGAGGAAAAAATCAAGTAGAATACCAAGATGAAATTAAATGTATTTTGGATCACAAACAAGTAATTATCGGAGATTTAGAGAGAAGATATGCCGAAATTCAAAATTTATTTATAGTTAATGATGAGATACAGAAAAAAAATCAAAGAAAAGGACGAACATTTGAAAAATATCTTGAAGCAAAGAGATTCTGACACAAGACTGCAAGTTACGAATATTCACAACTATTATAAGGAAATAATTTTAGATCTTCAACTATCTCATCAAAAATCTTTGGAAGAGTGTGAGGAAACTGCTAATGCAAGAATACAGGCAATTTTGAATCGACTCAAGACCCAAATTGATAGTTTCGGAATATATTTCAACCAAAATTATTGTCCATTCCAGTATTTTAAAACGCGAATCAATGAAATCGATTACAAATTTGGGGTTATGCCTTCCGTCACTGCTTGTCATAGTGTCCGTACTCTTATTACAACAAAACTGACAAATATATACAGGGAATTATACATACAGGGACTCTAACTGTAGGTACAGTGCATCCAACTTTGGATGAGACTGCCAGGTTTCTCGGTTGTTCTCAAAGATTCAACCTTGCGGTTTTCGCGTTCTTGTGCCTACTTTTATGACCTAATCAGATTTTGCATAACTTTTTTTTTTAATCGCTTGGAGCGCACGAAAGGGAATTCCCATAATGTTCAAAGAACATCGTGCGTTCCTAGGGAGGATAGGGACAGGAGGTAGGTATACCTGTTGAATTTTGAAAATTTATACTTTCTGGACCCCTTCTATATCTACGAAGTTATTGAAAATAATGTTTGTCTAAGAACTACGTCTAAGAAAGAATTTTCAGCAAACTCCAGTAGGGTACCTACTAATACAGTTTTTTCGAGGTTTGGTTTTGGGGATGCTACACAAACTTATATATTTTTCAATTCATTATTGGCTCGTAACTCACGGAAATGTGACTGATATGAGTAACATCATATTTTGATGTTGAACATTTATCTGCAACTGGAAAATAAGATCTACTCCTTTATAGTCGTCCAAGAGCCGGCTGCGAATTTCGACCGCCATCTGATAACGAGATGAGGTGAAACTGCACTTACCATGCGATGGGTTTTTTCGATAAATATTTTTTGATACTTAGGTACGTATTTTTGTCTGAAAAACACGAATTTGATAATGAAAATGTGAACAAACCACTATTTATCGGGATATTTCAAGAATGAGTTCGAAATTTCGCCTTCTTTTTCCCTTTTTCTGTTGGGTGCATTTACAGCTACTTGCTCTTCTTATTTTGTCATTGGACACTTTATATACTCATGATGTACTTCAATGACACATTTTTATATAGAGAATTCAACACGAAATATGATTTTTATGGCGAGTTTTTCATATTTAGTGAACAATCATACCAGATGACGGCCATTCAATCAATAATCAATCCAAATACGAAATGTCAACAGATTGCTTTTGGATGACCTACAGACGCCATTATTGTATATGATATTCTTCCTTCTTTTCACTAAATATGGATAAATCGCAAGAAAATCACATTTCTAGTTGACTTTCATATATAAAAAAAGTGTCATTGAAATACAATGTGATATATAAATTGTCTAATGATGAAAAAAGAAGGGCAAATTGTTCTAAATGCGATCCAAAACACAGGCGGAAAAGAAGGTGAAATTTGTAGCTTTATAGTGAAATATCTCGATAAATAATGGTTCGTTCACATTATCAAATTCGTGTTTTTCAGCCAAAAATACGTAAGTACCAAAAAAAATTTTCGAAAAAAAAAACCATCGCATAAGTGCAGTTTTACCCGAAATGATATTTGTCTCAAAGGCATGTAAAACCATTGAAGTTTATCGAACGGCACCTGTGCCAATCACTATCCTGAGCAAAATGATTGAAAAATTGCACTTTCCTGTGCGCTCCGATATTGAATGGTTATGCCACTTCCGAGAATATTTTGCCCCCTTCAAAAGATAATATCCGATGGGCCAGTATATAACTCAACATGTGGATTAGAATACTTGTAGTGTGAGCACCACAAGAGGTTCACACTGGTCCATCAGAGATTATATTTCTACGAGGGCTAAATATTCACGGATATATTGACGCTCTGCCACTAACTTTGATCAGTTTGAATCGCGGCACGATTGGATATTCGCAAAACGAACATTATCCCCTTTCATTTGCTTCTTGTTTCAATTTGTTATCACATGACGAAAGTGTGTCCGGAATAATAGGATCAAATGAATCGCTGTACCGTGGATTTGGCTCAGACTGAGGCGTGGCACAGGTAGGTTTTTGAGATCTACCATTCAATGGGCTTGTATCACGAAAAATTTTTATTTCATAATTCGATAGAACTCACCCAAACTAGCTCACCACCGCAAACCGTTTCTTGCTGTGAACTCCCTACGTTTTATAAAAAATTATTGAAATCCCCGATTTTTCGGACCTCTGAAAACGAGGCGATGATGTGACGTCAAAACCCTAATACTGAAACAAGACTATTCCAGACAGAGATGAATGATACATGATTTCTGACAGGGTGAATTGGCGCGAGATCACAGTTGAAAGAATTAATATATCAGTTGTCTCAGTCTCCGTCGGGCGTTTGGTATTTTCTTTTAACTATGGCGAGATGAGGTTTCTACGTCATTAGAGGGTCCGTTTTCAGTAGGTACTATTATTTATGTCCAAAAATAAAACATTCCAGTTAATTTTTCGATCGAATTATGTCGTCAATCATTATGTATATATAAAAGGATCATTATAAACATGGTTTGAGTTAAAAGTTCTACTTAGGTGTACACGCCCATTGGCATCGGATGTCGTAATTCTTATCTCGTTATCAAATCGCGAATCGAGTGCAGATTCCCGCACAGGAAAGTGATTAGCACAGGTGCCGTTCAATGAACTACAATGTTTTATAGAAATGTTATAGAAACGAAGAGAGAAAATCCCAAAAAATCTGGAATAATGAATGCACCACCTCCTCGATTAACCTACATACAGTATTTTACAATGTTTTTACTTTCCTTTTGCACATACAGGGTGTTTCATATTTGGATGTCAATATTCGGGGAGGCGATTCTAGGGCCCATTCTGAGAAAAAAGTTTCATATGAACGTGTGACCTAAAGGTCCTAACTTTTGAGATACAGGCTGGTAAAGTTCTCAAAAATTAATAGTTTTTTATTAATATCTGTAATACCACTTCAGATATTCGAATGAATTTTTACATACATGTACTATGTATCGAGAGGCATCAGTTAGTGTACCACATTTTTTTTGGTTGCCACCAGTGGCGTTCGTATGGAATTTCACATAGCTATTTTGGCAGACATTGATGGTACGCCACTGATTAATCTCGAAATTGAAATAATTTTCGCTTGAAAAAATGAAAAGCTTTTCACTACATGATTATAGCAATATCGCTAATATGACAATCGGGTCGATTCTGTTCGGATCTTGTTGCTAAGATAATAATATTGTTATGATCATAACATATAACAATATTGCTATGAAGTTCTGTATTCTGTTTGCAGAGTAACTGCAAGATTGGTTATAAGTTCAAGTGATAGCAATATTGTTGAAAAATTGAGAAATTTTGAGCTGACAACACTGTTTTCAACTCATTTTTCAAGTGTTAGGTATAGATTTTGCCATTATTCCATGAAGAAGCAGAGTTCATGATCATCTAACCTCTCAAATTAGTCAGTCCTGCACTGACATTTTACAAAATTATATTGTTCAAATTGAGAGATTTTGTATTTGCTGAATCTGGTCGTCGTTGTGTGACTGGTGCAAGTAATCAATCATGTCCTCGAAATGAGAAAACAACTAAAAGCCGGATGAAATTAATCGTGATTCTTTTTTTGGAATATTCTTGCAAAATAGCCTGATAAACTATCCATCAGGCAACTGAAATGGTTTTCTGGTTTCTCTGATATGCCGAAATTGTAGTCTCATATTCCCTCTACAAATTGGAACTTCAAGAAAAGGTTTTCAAGTAGTTGGTCACAGTAGTGAACCTATCCTATATGTTTGTGATCACCATTCTGAGTTTTTCAATAATTCTTCTACAAATTGAAACTGTGAGGAAAGGTTTTCGAGTAGTCAGTGACACAAGTGAAGTCTCATATGTTTTTAATCCACTATTTTCTGAATTTTCATACACTTGGAAGAATTTGTTGTGCAAAAACAAAGAATCCACTACCTTGTTATAAGATAGCAAGCACAAAATTGATGTTGCCGAGATAACAAGAATGCTGACCAGATGTCATTGAAATTGACAGATCATTTTGCCAAAAATCGATGATTAGAATTCCACTTTTTCGAATCTTGCTATGATAGCAATATCTTCTCTACAACCATATTGCTATTTGCAAACAGAATCGACCGGATTTATCACAATGCAGAGAAATAGATTTTATTTTTTTAGATCAACTTTGAGAAATACAATTCATAGTTTATGAACTTCGTATTTTTATTTAGTATTTCGGAATTATAACTTCTCATTGTAGTAGGCTACATTAATTTTTGAGAACTTTACCACCCTGCATCTCGAAAGTGAGGACGTTTAGGTCATACGTTCATATGATACTTTCTTCTTAAAATGGACCCAAAAATCGCCTCCCCGAATATTGACATCCAATTATGAAACACCCTGTATATCATTTCCGCTATCAAATGGTGGTAGAAATCTGCAGCCGGCCTCCAACTATTATGAATCTATCATTTCACGAATTGAACTTGCAGCTCGACAAACATAACCCACATTTTCAATGTCAAATGACTCAAAATTCTGTTCGAATACTACATGTAATATTAAATTATCTCAGAGAAAACATTCAACAACTTACTCCACTCTGAGAGTCGATAATCGAACAAACCCCTGAAGTCGATAAAATATCACATCTGATATCGAAAACCGCAAGTAAATCGATCAATTCATTTCAAAAATATTCACGATAGAAAATAACACGTCACTCCATCTGACGGCAACATTTGAACATTTTCTATCGCGAATAGGTTTTTGAAAAAGAATTGATTCCTTGTTAAATAAACAGAGAGCTTTAAGCAACCGGGTCTTTGTGTTTTGAGGAGTATTGTAATTTAAAATGAACTAAAATATTGGTAAATATTACTAATCAAAATAATTATATTAACGGAGAGTATTGAAGAGTGCATATAATTCCCGTCAAAATCAATGTGATGTGTTGAAAAATTAATTGTAAGATAATGCAAAACCCTTCCAAAATGCTGAGAAAAAATTTGAAATAATGAAATAGTAAGATCATTCTGTATAATGAATAATTCAGAGCTTGCCATTTGTAAGATTTATTTGACAAAAAACACAAATGGAGTTCGTACTCGAACCAATTTTTTTCAACGCCTGAATTTGGTTCGCGCGAAAAATAATATATAACTACTGAAATACCATAATTGGGAAAATATTCAATCAAATTCAAGAGCAATGTTAATTATTATTTTCTTCAAGATGGCTCCCTTTCGGCATTTTTCTGAATAGACCAATATCGAGTATGGTTATCATCTGCCATTTTGTTTCAAATACACATTTTCGTCTGAAATTCTGGTGTCTAATCGACAATTGAATGTCGTTTTGAATGTCATTTAACGGAACTTGTGTTCATTTTGTTTTCGAGCGGAAAGCCTGTATAATGAATAATAAAAAGCGCCCCTGGAACGTTTGGATTGTTTCAAGTGTGACACCCAGTAGGGTATGTATGTTAAATAACTGATAAAATGACAATGATAACTAATTCAAGCAAACTTTATATATCACACATTAGAGAAAAGAAATTATAAACCTGCAACTTCCGACGTATCCTTTTTCAATAGTTCGTTTATCCTACAAGTATAATATGTCAACTATAATCGATAAATATAAACAATTATTAATACTCGGATGTGTAAAAAATTGACAGTTTCCTCCTTCTCGCTTACTTTTTGATTATGCTAAGAATAAATTATTTAGTCAACTTAAAATAAAATGCAGTATAACAAGAGAAACCTACACTACTTCGATAGCTTGCTGATCACTCTGATAAGAGCACCATTTTCATCTTTCAACCTCTGGTTTTCAGACTTCAAATTTTCTAAATTCTGAAACAAAAAAGACAACTTCATTATTTATGAAAATACGTCGAGGTACGAGGTGTTTGGATTCAAATGCCAACAATGCAAGAAAACAACATAAGTGTAAGGCCTATTTATTTTATTGAAAAATATGGGGTGGCATTGATTGTTCCTGATGTTTCAATCGAATACGGGCTAACATTTTCACTCTCACCAGTTGGCGCTACTAAAACATGAGGTCAATGTCAAAGTCAAAAATCCAAAAATTTTGCTGGATATCCCTAAAAGCTATGGCCTGTTTTATCGAAAATATTCATATACCTACATATACAGGGTGTTCCGGTGATCATGTTACAAACTTCTAGGGTAGATAAAACACACGAAAATAAGAAAAAAAGTTCATGTGAACATGGGTCCGGAAGCGATTCTTCAGGGGGCTAGGGCTCTTCGAAGATGACCTTCAAAAACTACTTTTCGTTTTATAGCTTCGGTCCTACTGCAGCTATCGCAACCAATTTTGGGACATGAAATCTAGTTCCTAGGTTCATCAATTTGAGCCTTCCGGATTTTGTCACCTTTAACCAGGGGCGTACAAACCAGGAAGGAATTTGGGTAAATTTGACCCTACTCCTCTTAGGTTTCAATTTCTTACCATTTTTATATCTGATTATGATTCTCCAATGCCTTTTACATAAAAAAGGTACTCTTGTAAAAATCGCTATCTGTCACCGTTTCCTCCGAAAATGGCTAAATCCAATCAATAATAAATTATTGGTCTTAAATCAATTATTACGTTGAAATATGAAAATGAGGTTCAGTACAGATAGTTGTCAAAAATCTGTCAATAAAATATTGTGTCGCCAGTGAATCATGGATTATACTTTCGCTGTTAAACCTTTTTGTTACTTGTTTATTTTGTACTGCTACGCTGTTTCTGAATAAAACTAACTAATCACTGGAATGCAAGGGAAAGCACAGCAGTCACCGACTAACTCAATCAATGCTATGGGTTCGAACCAGAAAAATTTATATCGCGCCAGTGAATTGTAAGAGCCAGTCCAACTCACAGGCTGCTCCTGATATTGATGGAGAATTCCAAGTGATTGTAACAATAATGAGCGTTGAAATAATGAATAGAAAATAAATTAATGGTGTGGTGTGGTATGAAGACTACACATATCTCTCGAGTATAGGAAAGGTTGGTGGAATACAAAAACTCTGACAGTATATTTACAAACCTCTATTCAATGAATCATTCACTTCAGGAGAAAACACATGTACGTTACCCCAAAGCCCCTGGCAAGTACCAGACCAGGTAGATCTTCCGATGTCCCGTTGTGATCACAAGGGGCTGACAACTGGAAGTGGTCCTGGAAAATATATATTAATGGGCTCGAGATCAGCGTCTCTAATTACTAGCCCAACACTCTATATATAAAGGTTTGATAAATATCACTGTTGAATATAATATGTATGTAAAATTTAGATTGAAAAGCTCTATGCAAATTAATTCCCGGAAACGATATAGTGTGAAGTTTGATAAATAGAATTATAAAGTTGAGATACAGATATATATCTACATATATAAAGTTACGGTCCTGTCTTTAACCAGTCCAAAAACTTCCTGTCCTGAATATTGAGGAGGATGCCGCACTTGTGTTAATTCGGCGTTGGATAGACGTGGCCTCCAACAAACACTTGAAGTAATCTCAAAGTCCTCAGCCTGGTCTAGAGATTCAGAGTCAGATGTACCTGCTAGCTCGATGATGCGGATGGTAGAATTAACCCGAAGGGGGTAGGAGTGAACCCTATGATAATGTAGAATTAAACATTGCCAAATTCTCAAACATACGGTACATACCTCAGCGCCTGGAGGGTTCAAAATGGCGGCATGTGACAACTCGTAAAAATCCCCAATATGGGAAATCTTCCTTTGTATGACAAATCACAATGACTCTACTAGTCCACAATAATAAAAGGAAGATTGTACATACAGGTAATCAATAGAAATCCACTATAAGTGATTATATATGATTATTGAAACCTGCTACGGTATCACAAGCCGACTCTCGTATCGTCACCACAGGAAAGAAGCCGTAACACCCGTTGAATTCGAAACTTCACTTCAATTATGACAACTGTCAAACATTTGCCAAATCTTTGATGTTTATCGGTCACCAAGGATCCATAACAATGAAGAATAGCCAAATGCACAAAAATATTATACAAGGTGATCAGAAAAACAATATGCACGATGTATTCTTCAACGAACGAACGTTTTTGGTATGCACACTGAGGATCATAGAAATAGTAGTAGTAGATTCTTCTCAATGAAATGAAGCAAACTCATGACTAATGAATAAAATGAGTACTTATGATTCTACTGAATTTGAACTGTAACAGTACTTTTGAATCTTCAAAACTTTAAGTTTTTCATTGGTGCTCGTGAATGATTTATTGCAAATTTATTATTAGTTTTGCTTGTGTAGGTTCAATTGTTTTTTTTTTGAAATATTTTGTATACGTTCCCTTTTACTTTTTATACCCCCAATTACGAAAAGGCAATAAATTTCTCTGATCTAATTTATTTTCATCAAAAAAGAAGATTTGACTAACTAATAATGCTCACTATCTGTACTGAACCTCATTTTCATATTTCAACGTAATAATTGGTTTAAGACCAATAATTTATTATTGATTGGATTTAGCCATTTTCGGAGGAAACGGTGACAGATAGCGATTTTTACAAAAGTACCTTTTTTATGTAAAAGGCATTGGAGAATCATTATCAGATGTAAAAATGGTAAGAAATTTTGGGTGGCCAGGTAGCCGTGCGGACAGAGTGTCTATATTCTAATTCGCATTCGCTTGCCGGTCGTGGGTTCGATCCCCGTCGACTGCAGAAATTTTTCTGATGGCCCAAGAAAGTGTTTGGGATCACACGTTAAAAGGTAAGGCCCTCGTCATTCCTTGCTCGCACAAGACTTTCGAAGACTTTTGAAGGTTGCTCGTAAGGGGGCAACTGAATGACGGATAAAACAAATTTTAAAACAAATTTTAAATTTTTAATTAAAGCCTAAGAGGAGTAGGGTCAAATTTACCCAAATACCCCCCTGGTTTGTACGCCCCTGGTTAAAGGTGACAAAATCCGGAAGGCTCAAATTGATAAACCTACGAACTAGATTTCATGTCCCAAAATTGGTTGCGATAGCTGCAGTAGTACCGAAGCTATAAAACGAAAAGTAGTTTTTGAAGGTCATCTTCGAAGGGCCCTAGCTCCTTGAAGAAGCGTTTCCGGACCCATGTTCACATGAACTTTTTTTCTTATTTTCGTGTGTTTTATCTACCCTAGAAGTTTGTAACATGATCACCGGAACACCCTGTATATGAAGCATAGCTGTTCTCAAAGCGGGACCAATTTCTGTCTCTATAGATAAAGGGCTTTCACGCTGGGTTGATAGTTGCGTGGTAACAATGTCGTGCCAAAACTGCACATCGAAAAATACTAGTAACTTTCGAAATGGGCGAACCGCGTTATCGATTTAAGTTGGCAAAACTGTACACCGATGCCAGATTTATTTGACATTTCTAGAAGCGATTTGTTGTGATCAGCTGATCTCTGCGAATTATTCATTACTGACAATTTGTATTTTCAAGGAATTTTTTGTGATTTATTTGTGGATCATAGGTGAAATTCGATTTATTCAAAATGCCTGAACCATTGAGTGCGTAGGCGCAGAAGATGGTCCATTACTTCCAATGACTGCTGTGAGAGATGTGAGTTGAATGATGGTATTAACACAGTATACACCCTAGCGGAAAGTATTAATAATGATATTTTGTGTTGTCCGAATGATCCAAATATGATTTGTGTTAGTTTATTGTAATGACATAGTGGTTTCATGAGTTTTTGTGGGTTTTCCTCCATATTGAGAATAATAATAATAATAATAATAAATAAATTTTATTTCAAGGAATACTACAATATATAAACGTGATCACATGAAGTAGGATTGAATGAAACAATAGTCAACAAAAGAATATGATAGTCACTTTTAAGTTCTACAAATATTTCCAAGATTATTTGATTCGAAAGTTCATGAACTCTGTCTCATCATATGGTTCGATGTTAACCAACAACTTAAAAATTGTTTTCTTGAATTTTGCTAATGATTTTATCGATTTGATGTGTATTGAAGTAAGAACAACTCTTGTTGTCTATTTCATAATTTCCAATATAAGTAGATGCACCACTATTCATTTTCCCACGAAATAAAATCAATTGATCGAATTTCTATTTCATTTCACCAACTTATAGTAATTGAAAAACATTCAAAACGATTAGATAACCTCAAAATTGAATTCGAAGTTTTTATTATTTTCACTCAGTTAATGTGAATACTGATCAGTTTTATTAAAAAAAATTAATTCAAGACATGATTGTGTATTGGTAGAAAAATTAGTTATTTTTAATGTCAATATCTGTGATTATTTGTTGATGTTATATAAATCATTCTTCAAGTTATTATTCTTTATCATTAAATTTCATATTCAGTATATTGTTTAGGTGCATGGTTCATTAAATACAAATTTTGAAGTCCATTTATCAACTTCCGAGTCCTGATTTTGAAACATAAATGGACGGCTTTTGAGTTGGTTCCAAAAAACATTATAACGTCCGACGATCGTAACACTAGACATATCCATATTCGGGCGGTTGGTCATTCAGTCATTTCCTTTCAACTGGCAACACTGTATGTGTTGACATATTGACGTCACTATCAACCCAGCGTGAAAGCCCTTTTGACTAAATCACCAATAGGCGTTGATGCCGACGTAGGAAAAAAGTAATACGAAACTTGTTAAATCAATATTGCTACGAATTTCAAATTTTTAAATTGGTTTTAGCGCGTATGTGTGATTGATTGTGATTGAAATTTGTATATTTGCGTTTTTAGATGTACAATTCTTTAGTGTTCGTGTTTTCGTTCATTTTTCATGGACTGAACTTTTTTACCCATGTCTAGTGGAACGAAATGCAGTATTTGCGGAGTGAAGAATAGACAGGAATCCTCTTTTCATAAGTAAGTTTGAATTTTCAAAATCTTGGGCTTAAGTATGTAGATCTGAAACTGAAAATCATAAAACTGAAGTTAGGATTTAGGAGAGAGCTAAAACGTGAATTCACAAACATTTTTCTGAACATTGAACAATTTTTCTCCGATTCAACGTTTCAAGAATCAATACCACCCTCATTTTGTTTTCAAGACTGAAATGATTGCATCTCTTTCAGTCCTCAATAGTTTTTTAATTCTAACAGGAACACAGTTTTCACTTATTGCATATGAATGAACGATATTGAAAGCCCCCATTTGAATAAAAAATGATCAAACACAGAATAACACACTTTTTTTACACCAGACAATCAGTTAAGAAGTCAGCAAGCGGAAGCCATTATATCAGTCTAGATGTCGTACATAATACCTATGAAGTATTCCGAATGTCAACGAACTGTATCACATTTATTCTAATGGTACATAAAAAGTAGGTCTCGTTAGCATATTCTGCTGTATTGTATAACACGAATTCTAATTACACCATTTGGGTAATACAATCAATCTACTTTATTGTTGAAAAAAAAATGGGATTGACATTTTTTAGTGCCATTTGCAAAGCAGTTAAGGAAAAACATAAAACAATGATCAAAACAAAACACTTTTTAAACGGCTTCAGCAACAAATCATGTTGTCGGTTACCTATTTTTTCGTAGAGTTGGTAAGTTTGTTGATGACACGTGTAAGTGATCTGTTGTCGGCCTTTAAACGTTCATTTTCAGCTTTCAGTTTTTGTAATTGCTAAAACAACAATAAAGGACTAGGTACATAATACAATTTCGGTTCCCGGTAATCGTAAACAAATTTGATGGAGCTACATAAACCAATAATTCGTGGAATGTCACGTGTACTTTGTACACAATGTACTTGGCACTTTTGCCGATTGGTGGCTCTGAAGGCTAAATTGTTCATCTTCCCAATTCGAGCGTTGCTTTGTCTTGTAAAAGGATAATGAAGAGGAATGAATCGGTGAACACTTGGAAGAATTATATTGAACCGTTTAGATTATATATTTTATTAAAAACAACTGAACTGAATGGGGGACTTTGCTCCAAGTTGCCAACCTAACCTAACCTCTACCACTGAAGAAACAATGTTATGGAAGTTTGATCACTCAAATTGCTTTACGGGAAAAAAGTTTGACATTTCATCTCTGTTGACAGGTTACAAAATGTCACTTTTCATAAATTACTTTTTTCCCACGGGAAAAAAGGGAGTACTTTTTTCCTGGATATATAGGTGCACTGTTAATGGCTTTCCTTGTGCTAGTTCCGAAAAATAACACCGTCTCCCAGAAAGAAGTGAAAGCCTTTTTTATCTTCCATTCCACTTCGCAGTTCCGTAAATTACTGAACAACCACTAAAATCGCAATTTTTGAAATCAAAACAGAATTAAATTGACAGATATTCGATTCCTTCAAAAGATTTCCATAGCAACAATAAAGATGCTTGCAACACAGATAGTGAGTACACCTGTTAAAAACTGCAAATTCCAGATTTCATTATAAAGTAATATCTTCTCGATGTTGAACCGTCGTTTTTACTGGAAAAGTATTAGATTTTAGTTACGGTTTTTTGTCTCCTTTCGCTGCGCGTCGGGTGACAACACAACGTCGAGATGAAAACTATTACTTTTTCCCTTGTATAATAAAAAACTATTTACTACACATTCCCTAATTTACAAATGCAACTGTTTTTTCTACACATCTCCTAATTTACAGTTGCAACTGTAGATTAGCCCCCCCCCCCCAAAAAAAAAACTCATCTCGTTTTACTTCCAATGATGAAGTCATGTGCCACCTTTCCTATAATGTTTAATAGGGATATGGTTATGGCTACGAAATATGAGAAAGAAGCAAAAGCAGAGAAGGAAATGTATGTGGCTTGCTATTTCTGTTCTTGATGAAATGAATCTGAAAAATGTGATAGATATCATGTTTGCAATGTAGCCGAAATTGTTATAGAAATAACTTCACTACTATGAATTTGATACATTTCTGCTTATGCTTCCTTATGGTACAAAAACTGAAAAAATGAAATGAACAATATGATCGAAAATCAGCTAGCTGTGAGAGAAAAAAATGTCTTCTTCTGTTCATGTCTTCCAACGTAAAATAATTAAAATTTTATGTTGGCAGCACACAAGAAAGGAAGAAACGAAGAAGAACAATTTAACTTAAACTTAAAAGGTCATAATGGCCCCTTTTTTCTCACTTTTTTGTGTTTCCAACACGAAATTCTCATTATTTCAAGTTAAAACAATAACAGAAGAGGGAGACCTTTTTCTCACTCAACGGTAGCTAAATTTCTCTATTGAAAAATGGTATATGAAGTGTATGAACGTGTGAAGATATTATGAAGATTTTGACATAGAACCTGATAGGACAATGAAGTCCCCATAGGTATTACTTCCTGTATTTTAAATTATATAAAACATATATTGGAACGTTCCAGCTTATTGGTCTAATGAAGGTATACCAACAAATTTCAGTTGAAAGTATTTACTTCCATCTTTTATAAAAATATAACAAAGTGATGAATACCAAGGTTGATTCGATTCAGATTATTTCTTGAATGGATATTAATAGTCAGTATCAATAGAAAAGTTTCCTTCTGTTGAATTTTCAAATTAAATTCACACTGATCAGCTTTATTCAAATCATATCATTTCTATTCTTATTTTTATATGTACAATGGTTTCAAATTCACGGAAAAATTGTAATCCAAATATAAGAAACTTTCCCATCGTTACAATGCGAATTCAAAATGTAGGAATTTGGGGATATCAAAAAAATGATGATGAAGTAAAATAATAAAAAAAAGAAATTGAAAAATGCAAAAATCTTCATTTGTCTGTTGAAGAGTCAAAATTAAATCTATATTGACTCAAGTTTCCTTGTGGTACCAGTACCTAAAGTATCGAATAATTTTGACCACAAACCATTGTTTTCACCACTCAATACAAATTTCCAAAATAGGAACAATTATAAACATCAAGGAGCTCGAAAGCTCCGTTTCAAGCAGACTTAAAAAAAAACTCTGAAACTGACCTTGAGCTCCTCTTCCATTTCACTCAATTTTCTTTCCATCGCTCTCCTTTCCCGTTTTTCCAATTCCGATAAAGAGTTTTTACTGGTCTGGAAATCAAGTTGAAAGTGTTTAAACGGCCACAAAGGGCCAAACATTGTTGATCAACATTCGGAAAATGCATGCAAACATTGTAATCAACAATAAGGATTCAGACTTTTTCATCACCCATTCTCTAGAGATCACTCAACTCAACTTTTTCGATTCCAGGAATGAACTGGAATATTTTTTATTGAAATGGCAATTTATGTAAAACAATGAGGATAGTGAAGTAGATTCTTGACTTCCTATCATGGTTTGGATCAACCTGCCTCAATAGGGGACTTCGCTCCAAGTTGCCAACCTAAGAACCTCTACCTCTGTAGAAGCAATATTAGAAAGTTTGATTACTCAAAAAGCTTTGATTTGGTGCAATTTGATTGTAGGCGTCTACTCAGCTTTCTAATGAAAGTTATTCAGAAGAAAAGTTACTTTTTGTGAACTTCACATGTGACTGGTTGAAAATCATGTTGGTGCATCTGCGGTACGTCAATACTGAAATGTCAATACTTTCAATAGTGTCAGTAGTGTCACGAGTAAAAAATGGTATATTATTGAATCACTAAATTCGAACTTTTGAATAATGATTTAGAAAATATCATGAGGAACGTGCAAAGCTATAATAAACTGGATGTGAGGGTTCCAAGTTATCTGGTCTGGTGCTACTCTCGACTCGTCGTAATGGTAATCAACATAACATTGTTATTAGGTCTTTAAATTTATTGTTATTAATATTTTCTCACTACCCATAATAGGTATATCATGCTATAATGAATATTGTGATATTTAAATAGTCTCGTGATTTCTGCTACCAACAAACTATCTGTGGCTAATTATTTGAATGAAGGTATCTCTATTATTGGAAAATTTAACCAATTTTCATTCAATGTAAGCTTTAAAAGTATTCATTGAACGATTGTTTTTCCCTATTGTTATTTTTTCACTAGGAAAACGCTTGTTATTACGTAGATATGTTAGTATATTCATTTATGATATCGACTGTGATTTCTTCGTTGCCAAACAGTTATGGTTTAATCCACTTGAAGACACTTCCTTGGGTTATTGTTCATTTCAGAAGGTTGAAACTTCATTATTTCATTCCTACTAAGTCATGTCCGGATCGATTTTTAGTACTCAAATATATTCCTACTTCCTAATGCAACGATCAAACTTCTTTACCAAATAATGATAAATAATAGTGTTGTCCATAAATAAAATAATCTTAAATACGTAACAAAAATGTGACAAGTAATAAAATTGACGACGATATGACATATTTCAGAATGAAAGCAGGTGTATCAATATAATTTTCATCTTATCAGAACTGGAGTTCACAACAATTAATATTTCTTCTGAATAACTTCTATTCGTGAGCTGAGTAGACTCCTACAATCAAATTTCAGCAGAATGAAGCTATTTGAGTATTAAAACTTCCATAATGTTGCTTCTACATTGGTAGAGGTTTTTAGGTTGACAACTTGGCGCGAAGTCCCCCATTGGATATTGCTAGTAAGAGAGATACCGGGTGTCCAAGGTAAGCTTTCAGAACATATTTTTCACAATGAATTCGACTTTTTTTGACATGAATATTAGGTAATTGAAAATTTCGCTCAACATTTTTGTTCGTCATGCCAGCGCAGTGTTCCAATCCTCAGAGCAACTATTTAGTATATTTTGCATATTTCCTCTGTGAAAAAAACATCACATTCTAAGGACCTTTGTAGAACTGCTGCCAAAATCGACAATTCAAGAAAATTTTTCCGGTTGAGCTCATTTGTTTCGGCATAAATAATAAATGAATGTCCGCCTACTATGGCTAAAATTGTTCATAATAAATTGAATGAGTTATGCGGATGATTTCTATAATGGGATTATCATGAAACCTGCCATTTTCTGGGGTTGAGGAAAATAATAACTTTTTTGTTGAAATGACGCGTCTTCAATAATTTTCTTCAAAAATAGCGAGTAAGTGAAGAACAAGAAAATTAAGATCACATTATCCAATTATTTATTTTGAGTGGCCCCAATAAAAACATTCTGCAAAGTCGATACGAATTCATAATTTCTAATACCCAAGAACTATGTATTCTTTGTCCAGAAACGTCGAAGTTATTACGAAAAATTAGTTCTAAAATGTTACCTTCGACGCCGTGTATCTCTCTCATCCATAATATTTCATTGAGACATGTTGTATTTTATGTACAATTACTCAAGGACCACTCTGTATAAAAGAATGCGCATCAAATGCCCTAAAAAATAGATTTTGACAGGTCACGTGATAACTGGTATGAGGAAGAATGGCTATCAATTCCCAAGAGATCGGGTGAGACAAGATTAAGAGAAAATAAATTTGACTGCTGGAATTAAATTTTCAATTTGAATGCATTGTTTCAAACTGGAGAAAATCGAAAGAGCCTTTTTTTATTTCAATATGTTCACATATATGAAAACCTTTGTATTTTGATAATGACAATTAAACAGAACATAATTAAAAAAAAGGGTTTTGTCTAGACCCTATTACATTGGTTCGTATCAAAGTCAGAATTTCATAATTTTTCAGACCTCATAGCCATTTTTTTCAATTCGCCGCCATATCAGTGATCACGTGACTAATGCCGAAATATCTAATCTAATTAACTTTTTCCCGTGTTTTGAAAATTCCATGGTTCACACTGTATAAACCCCATAATTCCTACAGATATCATCTGACATTAGGGCAACCGAAGGATTCAATGTATCTGGTCTTGCAGATGATAGTTAAAGTTGAAACTATAGAAAATTATGAAAGAGAAAACATGTTGCTATAATAATACACGTGAAGTTCTGTCAGAATTCAAGTCAAACCTGTCAGCTATTTTCAACATTAAAAAAATTCCCCTTGGAATAAATTGATTCGACCAGTTTTTTATCGAATTTAGAACACATGCTTCTCTTACAAACTGTTCAACAGATCATTTTCAAAAAATATTCTTTCGAAGGTTTATGTCGATTTAATTTTCTTCTTCTTCTTATTTCAAGAATTAACTTTTTTGAGGTGGCCAATTTCATCAACCTTCCATACTTACAACTAAACTGATTTTCTCCAACGTCTGTTTAGTTTCCCGCAACTCTTCGTCCGATTTCCTCAGTTTGTCCTTGAGCCTGTCGTTCTCTACCAGTTGCTTCTCGTACAGCTTCTTGTAGTCGATTTCTCCATTCTCATTGCGGATGTCAGATGTACTGCCTATCCGAGATCTGCTACTTCGGTCTGTTCCACTCTGAAAAATAACATTTTGTTCATAAGAAGTTGAAAGTAACACTACTTGTGTTGAATAAATACAAAAAGGTCATATCCACACAATGTTCATGAAATGAACAACAATGGTAGATTTCGGAAGTAGAAACTGCTCTAGAGCTGTCGTTTCCAAACCAATGAACTCAATACAACTGGAAGGGAGACGACCGTTCTCTCGAATAGCACAAAGTGTGTCAGGGGCAGCTGCAACAAAGATAGCATGATTTACGGTAACCTGTCCTCTTCCAACTCGTGTTGTTTAATGGTGGATTGGTGTATAAATTTTCTTTTATCTAATAATTAAAGTAGCTAAGAATTTTTTCTCTCATCTACACAGGCAAGAAAGTGAAGACATAAGTTCATTGTCTTCGTTTATGTGAAATACGAGGTGAAATATCTATTCATTCGGCGTGTTTTGTTGTATCAAAAGGACTGAATTTGTTGTTGTGAATACTGAACTGATTGTTGAGAAGACCAGACATTCTCGAATTATGGAAAAAGGAAGTTCCTAGAGAGAATTGGACTCCAACTAACAGCAGCAAGCTTTGTGGGGAGCATTTCCTGCCAACAGATTATTTAGGCATACCAGGTACTGCTAGGTTTTTGAAAGCAGATGCTGTACCCAGTATATTTTCATTTCCTCAGCATTTGTTACTAAAAAATGCTGATTCCCCCAGGAAAATAAGAAAACTCATAGGTACCTAGTTGATTAATAATGAAAAAAAAGTATGTTAATTTGCACCTCTACAAAATAAAAAAAACTAGCCAGTTATTTGTTTTCAGGATGCATCTGTGGACGTTCATAACTTGGGTCCAAAGGAAGAAGTTTCCCATGTTATTGACTTTGACTTCCAGCTCCCAAGTTTCGAAGTTTATCAATAAAGAAACTCAAACTGTTTCATTAGAGAAGGATATTGTATTGAGGAGAAAAGTAAAGACACTGAGACAAAAAGTAAAAAAGAGAGACCTAGAAATTTCAAACATGAAAGAAGTAGGAAGGAGGAATAGGAACCTATGGGAGTTATGCTCAAAATGCATTCAATACCATTCAAGAACCTCTTTTCAAATTTTTCCTATCGTTTTTCTTTTCCTTCTGATAGTTCTGAGACATTGTGCTTCGCTCACCCTGTACAATATATTGTGACATTTGAATGATAATATATAATTTCAATTTTGTATTCATTTGACTTCCTGATCCTGCAAGAGTAAAATTGAAATTTCATTTTAAAGTAAATAAAAAAATCAGTAATAATTTTTTAATGATAATTGATTACAACATTATCCTTTTTCCTAAATGAATATTTTTATTTAATCACGTTTACTCTTGAATAGAAGCAAAAAACGAGAAAATATTTCAAATTATGCGAGCGCTTCCCATTAGCCAACACAAGATAGAGAGAGATAGGTATCCGTAAACACTGCGGGTTGCCTGAAAAATATTTTTGCCTCACTCGTCGTTCACAGTGGCTCCTTTCCAGTTGTTTACATTCAGTTCATTGTTCCAAACAGGCAGCATTCCATCGATGGCAGAAAAATCCAGGCCCTGAGACTAGAGCAGAATATGTCGAGGCTAGAGGCACATGCAATGAGACAATTCGATCATCAAAGGATGCTCATAATGCCAAAATAAGACCAAAACTTGTTGAATGTCCTAACGGATCCCGTTCATTTTGGTCCTTCGCCATAGCTGTAGGAAGAAACTTCACTTCCAGCTCGTTTCCTCCTCTAAGATGGAACACTAGCCACAACTGCCCAGAAGAAAGCCAACATATTTGCGCATTCATTTGCTGGAAATTCCACTCTGGATTCATCGGGAAAACAACCTCCAAACATAACGCCAATCGACAGTCATGTGCCCGAGATCACCTTTTGCCAACGTACTATAAGGAAGATTTTATTGGGTCTCAACACCAACAAAGCTTGTGGCTCCAACGGAATACCACCGATTGTTCTCAAGAAATGTGCTCCCGAACTAACACCTGTTCTCTGAAAGTTGTTCAACTACTCTTACAATTTAGGGATATTCCCGTCCAACTGGAAAATTGCAAGAGTACAACTAGTTCCTAAGCAAGGCAGGAAGACCCTACCTAGCAACTACAGACCGATCGCACTGCTATCTATTATTTCAAAGATCATGGAGAAAGCTATCAACATCGAGCTCATGAAATACCTGGAACATTGGCAGTCCCCGCGAGATTAACCTGGCGAGTTGAGGCTTCGCACCTCTTCGTGGTCACTTTGGAGACCTGCAGAACATCTCTTTCCAAAGACTCGTTCATCAAACGAACGGCGAGGCTCTGGAACACATTGCCAAGGGAGATGTTCCCCGAGGCATATAACCTCCAGAAATTTAAGAAGAACACCAATTCCTACCTTATTTCCCTTGGTTCTCACGATGTTCTATGAACATTACAGGATATCCCTTTTCGTGGGAACCAGAACATAATAAAAAAGAAAATCAACTACTTTCCTGGCTAATGCCTTGCAGAACATTGAATTTCATCCTCCCGAAATCTATGCATCGACTCGTATACACGAATACTAATACAAGTGAACCTTTCCTGAATGCCTATTGATTTCGATTACCCAGGCCACGCTAGACAACAACAGACTGGTTTCGAGCTCTTTGAGTCTCATCAGTGCAGGGCAGCTTCCAGCAAGCAGTCCTAAGACCGCCGACTAAGCGTAGCCTAGCCAAACAAAAATTGAAGGTTTAAAATCAATCTTAAACAATACCTAGTCAGGACAATCTGATTGGAAAATATGTGGCATGATTTGTTTACTCAGAAATTAAATGTTATAACTGTTATCTTAAGAAACAATATCAATTTGTTTCCACTGAGTGGAATTCATTAATCAATCCTTTATTATATTTTTTATGTATTCATGTATCCCTATTATAATCAGAAATGTTTCTTGTGGTAATAAAGACAATCAATCAATCAATCAATACACGACAAACTGATCCGTTTTTCCATCAATGTGTTGTATATTCCATTGCAGCATCAAGCGTGTTCTTATATTCATATTATGAATTTCATCTGATAATTACTGATGCATGACTTCACATTTCCCCCGTTTAAATGTGTACAAAAATGAATTACTTCGGTCTGTCTCACTCTGAAAAATAACATGTTCTTCATGTGAAGCTGAAGTAACACTACTTGTGTTGTATTATTCAATAACTTAGGGGATTTTTGTGAATCGATTCTCGGCTGATGCAAGACAGGCCAAGTCTTATCAGTTGCACTCGGTCAGCTGACTATCAATTCACGAAGAGTACTCTAATTGAGTTCCACCTCCAATTCAAATAATACAAAAAATAAATGGCATGTGATGATGTGATCATCTTTCCACAAGGAAAACTTCAACTTTGACGTCACGCCATGAGTCATAATATTATACATGAGTAATATTCCAATATCAACCAATCGCCATTCATTCAATTCATCAATTCTTCTTCTCGAACTTACAACGTATCCTTCGGAATTCAGAGACGTCAAGCTGATCGACCTCGACCCCAAACCGCCCGAAGCCAACGAATTCCTCGACCTCGACACCGACCTCTCCCTGTAACTACCCCCCCGCGACAGATCCCCCCTCGCCGCATCAGCGTCGTACTTCTTCGTGCCTGCCAACCCCAACAGCGCCTTTGCGGGGATCTTCAGGCTGGCATAGCCGCCCGCATTCGCGTTCCCCCTGTACCCGTTCTGGAAGTAGGGGCTCTGGTAGTTCGAGCCGTAGCCGTTGTAGTTGCCGAACGACGAATAGGGGCTAGTGGAGGTGGCGGACGAATAGGGACTAGAGGTGGCGGACGAATAGGGGTTGGTGGTGGACGAATAGGGACCGCAGGCGGACGAGCTGTAGCTCGGGTAGTGGCCCAAACTCTTCGGTCTGGTGTTGTACGAGGAACCTGGAGTGGTTCGATGGCAGTGACAGGTTCATTGTTTCATCGGTGGATAGAGCACGGGCGTGTGACTAGCAGTGACAGGGTAGTTTTGGAAATGGTGCTAGTTGAAAATGTACCACTATTGGTTTTATCAGTGAATCGAAGAATCCACAAAGAAGCGAAATTTTATTTTGAAAAATTTTACAATAGCCCATTTTGGAACTTTTTTGTTAAGTTTATGTCTGTTCCTGATTCCGTTTGTACCATAATGATATCGTCGATTACTGAATTTTTCGACCTTTTTGTAAATACTTGACGAGTAAGTAATCTACACTTTACATTTTCTCTTTTTGAAATTTCATAAATGTTGACTTGCATGATGATGGGTTTTTAGCCGAAAGCGCTTTGCGATTTTATAATAAACAAGTTACGCAATCCAAATTTCATATTCGAATCCCTTTGTTTCCATTGGCGTAGAAGTTTTAGATGTTTATTTACTGAAAAAATCAAGTTCTACGCCCATGGAATGATATTCATCATTATCATGATACAGGGTGTCCTTGAAAGGTCTTTACAAAAAGCTACCACATATTCTTCAGACCAAAACAATTCGATACAAGCAAACTTACCTCAGTAAAAAGTTGCTTAGTTTGGGAGCTAGACGGCTATGAAGTTGAAATTTTCAAATCGATTTTGCTTCATAACTTTGGAACGGCTCATGAGATTTTTTTCAAATTTGGTACGTTGGCATAGACTCATCGGGCAATGAAACTCATATCATAATCATAATGAATATCATTCCATGGGCGTAGAACTTGATTTTTTCAGGAAATAAACATCTAAAACTTCTACGCCAATGAAAAAAAATCAGTTTCAGTATGACATCTAGATAGCCCAAATCATTCACTACAAAAAAGGTACTCTTGATAAAATTCGATTACTCTGATGGTTTCGACAATATTTAAGTTTTAGTGATTTCGCGCATATTTAAATAATAAAACGATTGATAGATATTGCATGAAAGTTTTCCAAAATGTTCACTAACAAAGATTTATACGACGCAAAAAGTTGAAATCCTAATCATAATGAATATCATTCCATGGGCGTAGAACTTGCTTTTTTCAGTAAATAAACATCTAAAACTCCTACGCCAATGGAAAAAGTTAGTTTCAATATGAAATCTAGATTGTTCAACTCATTCACTACAAAAAAGGTACTCTTGACAAATGGTCGAATGGTTTCGACAAAATTTTAATTTCAGTGATTAAGAGCATAATCAATAATAAAACGATTAACAGATATTTCATAAAAATTGTTCAAAATGTTCACCATTTTCACGTATACAAAGATTTATACAACGCAAAAAGTTGAGATGTACTTTTTGCATAGGTTATTTCTATTGAAAATAAGTAGCACTGGTTTTTTTTCTGAAGACTATTATTATCTGCTCGAAAACAGTGATATTCACATTCTTGGTTTCCATAGTTTCATCTGTGTTGATTTGTCGAGTTTTATTGACGTTGATTGTTGATATCGGACTTTTCTGATTTATCATGGCCGTACAATACACCAATGAAGAATACACCGATATGTTATTGGTATTCGGATATTGTCAAGGAAATGGTCGAGAGAGTGTGAGGGTGTATTCGGCAAATAAACCATTTTCAACACGAATTCAAAATCAACGTTTGGGCTGGAATAATAGGAAATTTTATAATTGGTCCTGTCATACTTCCACAAAGATTAACAGGAGACATGTATTTACAACATCTACGAAATACGTTGCCAAATTTGTTGGAAGATTTACCACTCCAACATCGGGTAGATATGTGGTTTATGCACGATGGAGCTCCACCACATTTTTCGGTGGATGTTAGGAATTTTTTAAACCAACAGTACCCAGACAGATGGATAGGTAGAGGTAATGATGCACCCGTGAATTGGCCACCACGTTCTCCAGACTTAACACCGATGGATTATTTTGTATGGGGTTATCTCAAGTCTACGGTTTACAAGACCCCTGTGAATACTGTAGAACAATTATGGCAACGTATCCAACAGGCGACGAATAATCTTACAGGCGATGAAGAAGTTATGCAAAGAGTACATTTCAACTTTTTGCGTCGTATAAATCTTTGTATACGTGAAAATGGTGAACATTTTGAACAATTTTTATGAAATATCTGTTAATCGTTTTATTATTAATTATGCTCTAAATCACTAAAATTAAAATTTTGTCGAAACCATGAGAGGAATCGACTTTTGTCAAGAGTACCTTTTTTTGTAGTGAATGAGTTGAATAATTTAGATTTCATATTGAAACCAATTTTTTTCCATTGGCGTAGGAGTTTTAGATGTTTATTTCCTGAAAAAATCAAGTTCTACGCCCATGGAATGATATTCATTATGATTATGATATGAGTTTCATTGCCCGATGAGTCTATGCCAACGTACCAAATTTGAAAAAAATCTCATGAGCCGTTCAAAAGTTATGAAGCAAAATCGATTTGAAAATTTCAACTTCAGAGCCGTCTAGCGCCCAAACTAAGCAACTTTTTACTGAGGTAAGTTTGCTTGTATCGAATTGTTTTGGTCTGAAGAATATGTGGTAGCTTTTTGTAAAGACCTTTTAAGGACACCCTGTATAGGTTTCATTGCCCAAGAAAGCTATGCCAACATACAAAATTTGAGTGAAATTTCATTTACGTTTCAAAGTTATAAGACGATTTGAAAATTGTTATTTCAAAGCTGTCTAGCGCTCAAACTAGCCAACGTTGTTCTGAGGTAACTTTGCTTGTATCGAATTGTCTTGGTCTCTAAAGAATATGTGGTGGGTAAAGGACACCCTGTATATATATATATAGATATGTAGCAAGCGCCCTCGAAAAACTAGTCACCAATGGGCTTATATCACAAAAAAAATGTATTTCATAATTCGATAGAACTAACCCAAACTAGCTCACCACCGCAAACCGTTTCTTGATGTGAGCTCCCTACGTTTTATAAAAAATTATTGAAATCCCCGATTTTTCGGACCTCTGAAAACGAGGCGATGATGTGACGTCAAAACCCTAATACTGAAACAAGACTATTCCAGACAGAGATGAATGATACATGATTTCTGACAAAGCACCAAGATTGGTGAATCGGCAAGTTGATTTTTGGGACAAAGATAATAAGAACAAGAAGATCAATTCTAACCTATATTGGCTTTTTGCAGCTCCATGTAGCTATGTTGCTGCGTTTATGAAATATATTGGATTATTGTGAAATTGTAATGGTGCAAATGGTTTTGAGATTGAGACATTTCGTTGTCTAGAGATTGTTTATATTATTCCAATGATTCAACCTACAATCGACTTGAATATATTTTTCTGCAGTAGTGGTAGTGGATATCAAAAGATATTTCAATATCGATTTCGATCTCTCGGATATTTTGTTTGGATGATATGGCAACAGTGATAAATGTCAGTTTGAACTATGGCTAGATGAGGTTTCTACGTCATAAGAGGGTCCGTTTTCAGAAGGTACTATCATTTATGTTCAAAAATAAAACATTCCAGTTAATTTTTCGATCGAATTATGTCGTCAATCATAATTTATGTATAAAAGTATCATTATTAACATGGTTTGAGTTAAAAGTTCTACTAAGGTGTACACGCCCATTAGTACCGATTTCGAATTTCTCATCTTAGAAAATTTTTAATTTGACATCTTCAACTGTTTTGAAATTATTATACTATTTCGAAAATTCATTTTCACTTTTAACATTGTATCTTTTCGATGATCACCATTTGCCAACACATTCAAGATATTTAAATTAATTACATGCCGATACTCAAGGGTGTTAGTCCTTAGATCCTAGGACAAAAAATACATGTACCTAGACATAGTTGTTTGGATGAAGGGTGATTGAATGATAAATTTCCAAAAATTGAAGGATCAAATGAAAGTGCTTTCAATAGGAATATTCTGACACACATGGCTGTTCTGACAGTTCGCAGCTTTCCAAAATTACTCAAGATTAATGTCTCTTGGGTTGGGTAGAGTCACTGGATGGTATTAGTGAATAAAAGAATGAGACATATATTCTGCTCTTTCTCTTTTCAAATTCCCTAGAGCGCCTGATTGTCAGATACGATTTTTGAGGTTAGATTTTCTGTCAAATCAATCATAGTCGTAGATGGAAAATAGAAATAAGGTATAACATGTAACAATATTACACGACAAAATAGACACGTATGGATATCCAATAGGGATGAAATTATGTGCTCAATTTTCCTAGATAGGTACCATAAGTATATTTGATAGCAAACGCTTTATTAAATGTTTTGGTTTTTCACTTTTTCCTGCATTTGAAAATGGGCCTAAAATATGGTTTCATTCTGATCTGCTTTTATATGAAGTGAATTTACATCACAAATTTTGCTTGTCTTCAAATCAATTTTTCATCCAGGCCGTTTCATGCATTACTTCCATGAATAAATGGTTGATATTTTCTTTGGAAAATTGAATAAATGAAATCCATTCTCTGTAGAATTTCCACAATTCATTACACAGCAAGGTATTTTCATTTATGGTTTTTTTCTCAATAGTTATGAAATTATATTTCAATTTTAACGTTCATAAAATGTATTGTCAAATTCATACAATTTTGAATGAAAAAGGGCGGGACGACTATGGTGATCTTGTCGAAATGCAAGGTGTGTAACTTAATAAATATAAACATTGAAAAACACTAAAAGTTGTCATTTCTGTGTCCGCTCTTATCTAACTAACCATCCAGTGACTGTACTCTTGAGAACCTTTTCTGCATCTCTAGAGAGAATGAGTCATACAAGATATACCTTCGTCGGGAAGTGACGTCATCTTTGAAGGCAACCCCTGTTTTTTATAAGTTTTGAATTCCTCTCATTCAGATTCATATATTATACTCCAAATAATCCATATTTTCAGATTTTCTAGGTATTGTTCATATTCCACTTTCGCACAGAAGATGACTGACAACCTCATTTTTCAGAATT